AAGCCCAAGGGCACAGGTAATGCTCCTTGAGAAGACATCAGTAGCTCTTGGCCACAGATCTTCCTCTGGGCCACTGACAGGATGATGCCTGGGTCTCTCTGGGTTCTCTCCTCTCTAACTTCCTTTACTGTGTTAAATAACTATACCTCCTCACCACTCGCCAGTGCAATCCAGCTTAGAGGAGATGATAGTTCTCTCTGTGTAGGTTGCAAATCTCTTTTCTGAGTCTGGTAGCTCACCTTACTGAGCCTATCCATGAAGCCTGTGTGTATGAGTTCTTCAACAATACTTAGTTCCAGCACGTCCCTTTCACTGTTCTTTGGTCCTGTTTTGGGGGATCCTGATTTAAGACCATCTTCTCCAACATATCATTTGTCTCAAATATGGTTTCCTGGGAAACTTGTAACTCTAAGATACAAGACTTAATTTTAAATTTCGAATTGCATTCTCTGTTGAGTTACAAGATTCTATTGAATACAGAATATTTAATTTTATACTGTCCTGTTATGAGGCAATCCTGTTATTTATTTTTATAAACCAAGCATCTTGGATGTTGCTAGAGAGGTGAAGGGTATGCATAGTTTTTAATAGAAGAGTGTGTGTGTGTGTGTGTGTGTGTGTGGGCGTGTATGCGCGCGTGCTCTAATTACACAGCATATTACTGAAAACACATATACTATATATATATTCATAAATATATGCCCAGTTAAGTAAGACCTTTGACATTATGTAACAGACCACATTGAAAAGTAAACAATACCTAGAAAAATCAATTGTAACATTAGACATTTTATCCTAATCAATAATGTCAGTGTCACATGTACAAAGGTGAAACTGTTCGCAGAGGTCGGCTCTGCTTTCCTTGATGATGCTTCAGCAGCAAAACACATAGCTCAAACTCTGAATATCTCACAGACTCAACTCTGAATGTATATAGTGCCTGAGTAACTAGCCTAATAGAAGTTCCATTCCCTATGATATCTGTGGAGCCACACCCCAGGACCAGTGCTTAAAATGACTCCATTTGAAAGATAATGCCAACCATAATTGCATTTAGAAAGTGAACTAGTATAGCTCTCACTTCTTAGAAACAATTTTCCTCTTGATAAACACAGACACACACAGACACACAGACACACACACACACACAGACACACACACACACACACATGCACACACACGCACACACACGCACACACACGCACGCACACGCACGCACACGCACGCACGCACGCACAGACACACAGAGTCCTTGAATGACAGTTGCTTCAGGGCCCCAACTCCAGAGGCATTACATCTGTATTGGAAATACCTTTTGATCTCTCTTATATGCAGAACTTCAGTTTCAATTTTTATGTCCATTTGCATGTATATAGGTGTGACTGTGGGTAGCTACCATGTAGCTAGAAAGATGACTGTACAAGAAGGTTTTAGGAAAGGAGTTGAAAGGGTTATAGACCATGCTTGACACCAAAGTGGGAAGAACTCAGGAGTTAGAAGATAGGAGAGAGATGGGAAAGGATCACCACCCAATGAGGAGTGTGTCTGAAATGCCTAATGGAATCCATTACTTTGCTAAGTAATTAAAAAGGAAAAATTTTCAGGCCATCTCTCCTACTCTTCTCTGATATCTGCTTTGTGTTCTGTTGCATGTACATTGAGACGTGTTTGAATATTTTTATCATAAGTGTTGTTAAAACTAGTACATTTTGGTGTATATGATTTTTCTCCAAAGTTTTATATATTTTATCTGATTGGACATGAAAGGAAAAAGAGCAGGAATCATTACTTTAAAGTATGTATATTTATGTTCTTCTTAGTTAAAGAAAACTGTGCCAATGCTTATCTGGTCCACATATTCAGTTAATTGAAGAGTCATGTTGCTGAATATTTTCTGTTTATTGGATTATTTGGTGGTTCCAAGAATATATTTTTGACATTTCATTTTATTTTTTGATTTTGCATAAATTCTTGAATTTTTGTCATAATTTAACATTTTCATTTTGAAAATCGAGCACATTTAAATATCACACTCATCTATACATACATGTATGTGTGATTTTTCTGGGAGACAAATCTTTTTATGTGCTAGTTTTCTGCCATTCGTTTTCCAAGCATCTTCAGTGTATATTAATGAAACTCTGTTATGCTACATGGGAGGGAGGTAGGTTCCTTTACCCCAGGACACAGCAAGAATCACTGTAGAAATGAGACAAGACAACACAGGCTTCATCTCCTGCATGCTATCTGTTAGGAGCAGGGCCTCACTTTCCCTTTTGGTTGTGTCTAGAGAGCTTTGTGCTTTCCTTTTTTTTTTTTTTATAACAAAACTTTCACTGTGGAATACATTATTGATGATGGTAAACAAACTATTAAACAGTGAACCTTCACAGCTTGTCTTGCTTGACTGAGAGCAAATCAAATGATAGAGAACTCCCTATTTAATATTCCCATTTGTGCTGGTGAGTTTCATGCCAGCTTGACACAAGCTAGAATCATATGAAAGGTGGGAGCCTCAGATGACCAAAAAAAAAAATGCCTTTATAAGAGTGTGTTGTAGGCAGACCTGTAAGGCATCTTCTCAAATAGTGATTGGTGGGTGGAGGGGACAGCCCATTGTTGGTGGTGCCATCCCTGGGCTGGTAGTCCTGGGTTCTATAAGAAAGCAGGCTGAGGAAGACGTGGAGCAAGCAAGTAAGCAGCATTCCTCCATGACTTCTGCATCAGCTCCTACCTTGCCTGAGTTCTTGTCTTGACTTCCTTCAGTGATGAACAATGATGTGGAGGTATAAGCCAAATAATCCCTTTCCTCACCAACTTACTTTGGCCGTAATATTTCCTCAAAATAATAGAAACCCTATCAGCTTTTTGCCACTATAACCCCAATTCTTGATTTTGTGAGTTTTAACTGTTTTCATTCAACATTTGATGTAAAATAATACAATATATTGTTATAACTGGGTTGTTTTTCATGTAGTAATATCTTCAAGGTTGATTCATGTTGCTATATGATGTAGAATTTCCTTTTTGAGAAACAGTATTGCATTATATGCACATTTTCTTTCTCTGTCACCTTCTGATGGACATCTAAGTCTTTTCTTGTAAATAGTGGCACAATGAATAAGGAAACTGTAATCTCTCTTTGAAATCCACAGTTCAGCAATACTGGATGCTAGGTCATATGTTTGTTCTCTTTTAATGTGTTCAAGAACTTTCCCACTGTCCTCCATCAGCTCTGTCACTTTGCCTTCTCAACAACAGTGTGAGACACCCGACTGTTCTTTCCCACTGTCCTCCATCAGCTCCCTCACTTTGCCTTCCCAACGACAGTGTGAGACACCCGACTGTTCTTGCCCGTGCTGATCTCCCCGTTCTCCTTGCTTAATACCAACGATCCTCACAAGGATGTGATTCCTTATTTGGATTTTGTGTCCATTTCTCTATTAGAGACGATGAGGAGCAATGCTCTGAATGTTTTATATATCTTTTTAAAAAGTATTATTATTGTCATTCTTAAAACCTAAACTTGTTTTAAAAGTATCTTTTCTTTGTTTTATGTTTATTCTTATGGGCACTTGTCTCCATGTCTACATGTATACAAGCACAACTTGTATGTTCCTAGTGTCCATGGATGCCAAGAGAGGGGACCAGAAGCCCCGGAACTAGAGTTATAGGTGCTTGGGCACAGGCTTGAGCATCCTAGGAACTAAACCTGAGTCCTCTGAATGAGTAACAAGTGCTCTAACCACAGAGCCATATCTGTAGGCCTTCTTTGTCTCTGCTTACTTCTGCATTGTAAGGCCTTCTTAGATCTTTGAGGATTACCCCGTTATTGACTATACGATCATCTGTTCCCATTCAGGGCTTGCCTTTCACTCTGTTCTTGCAGTGTAGAGCATTTCAATATGATGTCATTGATCTTGCTGTGCAGAGCTTTTCAATATGATGTCATTGCTCCTGCTATATAGAGCATTGCAATATGATGTCATTGCTTCTGCTATGGAGAGCTTTTCAACATGATGTCTTTGCTTTTGCTGTTTAGAGCTTTTTAATATGATGTCATTGCTCTCACTGTGCAGAGTTTGTCAATATGATGTCATTGCTCTGCTGGATTTTGTTTCTGTTGTCTGTACTTCTGGTGCTTTATTTATTAAATTATTACCAAGACTCTTCTCATGAAGTTTATATGCTTTCTTTCCCACAGTATTTACATCTTTAGAGCCATTTTTAGTTGATGGTATATGACCCCCTATAACTTGCTATCTTGCCTCTATAAATCCAGCTTTTCAGGACAGTTTATGAAAGAGACTTCACTTTCTCTGCTGTTTGTTCTCCGCACTCATGTCAAAATACATGAATTTTATTATATGTGTTTCTTTATTTGCAGGTCACCCTTCCATATTACCTCTATCTTTTTGTTGTTGCTACATTGTTTTGGTTATTAAAATTTGTAATGTATTTTAAAACAGTAATTTAATCTACCTGTGTTCTTTCTTTTCATGAACAATTTAGCCAACCACTGTTTAAGATCTTTTCTGTTTCTACTTGGGTTTGAAATAGATAAGTGTTTTATTTCTGCATTTTGATAGGTATCGCTCTAGATCTGAAGGCGGTTTGTGTGATCTAGGCTCTTCTAGTCCACAAACACAACCTACATTCATTTTTGTTTGTTCATGTAACTCCTTTTATCACTGTCTTTGTTTTCAGTCTGTACATAGTTTATGCCTTGGTTAAGCTTCTTCTTGCTATCTCAGTCTTTTGCATGCTATTGCAAATGAATTTGTTTTCTTAACTTTCTTTTTACTCAGTTGTTTACTGATACTGTACAGAAAGACCAACTTTTGGGTTAGTGAACTCCTTAAGGGAAAGACCAGACCTCATTTGTATTTTACACCTTCATACACGAGCAATAATTAATCATACTCCCTATTTGCTCATTTATGTATTTTTTATTGTCTTTTATTGCTGATCATCTTTGTCATTTTTCTCTTCTATTTTAGGGCTCTGGCAGTTCAATAGCCACTCCTCCAGTTTCTACTCCTGTCACAGGACATAAGAGAATGATCATTCCACACCAGCCACCCTTGACTGCAACCAAGAAGTCTGCAACGAAACCCCAGGCTGCACCCATCCCAGTGACTCCAACTGGAACACTTAAACCCCAGCCTCAGCCAGTTCCAGCCTCCTACACTACAGCATCCACATCTTCAAGGCCCACCTTCAATGTGCAAGTGAAGTCAGCTCAGCCCAGCCCACATTACATGGCTGGTCCATCCTCTGGACAAATATATGGTCCAGGGCCTCGTGGCTATAACATCCCACAGGTTCCTGTATCAGGACAGTGTCCTCCTCCTCCTCCAACTTGTGTTGGCACCGACTATGCATATATTTCACCCTCAGGACATCCGCCTGAGTCTGGATATGGGTATACCTCCAACCAAGGACGCTATTATGAACCCTATTATGCAGCAGATCCTAGCTACGGGGGCAGACATGATGGTGATCCTGCTTATGGACAACAGATTCAACCTAATACCTGGAAGCGGGAACCTGGGTATGCTAATCCTGGAGCTGGGAATCAGAACCATCCTGGCATGTATCCAGTCAGTGGTCCCAAGAAGACCTATATCACAGACCCTGTTTCAGCCCCCTGTGCACCACCACTGCAGCCAAAGGTAAGAAATCTACCAACATAGCAATAGGGAAAAGAAAATGAATGTGTTCCCTAGAGAGCACCATTAAAGACAGGCATGCATGTGCAGTTCTTCCATTAGCAGATCTCACTGCAGAGGAAAATAGAGAAATGAAAAAGGTGAGTGTAGTCCTGTTTACACAGTACCAATATCACTCCTCTTCAGCATCCTGTGCAACAGTTGCTCAGTAAGGAAGGATTATCTTCCCAAAAGCTGAATGCACATAGTCTAGAAAGTCTGATCTAAGGGCAGAATCAAAAATAATATATCTTCCCACTATGACATTTTGTCTTTTACAGCAAAACTTTCTGTGTAGTGCAGAAATGGCTTCATATATGTTGCACTTGCATGGAACCTGGATATATTTGCAGTATCTCATATTTTGTCAGGTACAAGAAATTCCCAGATCTGTAGAAGAGAGGTGTCTCAGGCAAGCATAGGAGCTACTGACATTCAAAGCCTGTGTTAAGGTGGTAAGAATTCAAGCAACATGGTACCGCAGTGGCTGCTAGGGTCAAACAAGTAGCCAAGGCCTTCAGATGCAGATGTGGTCAAGTGGATGTAAGAGGCAGGCTACTTCCCTTTGGGAAGAAAAAGAGACCTTGGGGCTTGTTTATTGGCCCATGTTTTTCAGATCATGTATTCTCTAGGAAGGGTCTTACTCTTCTGTCTTTAACTCTATCAAGACTGTTTGGACATCCTTTGTGAATGGAGGTTTTCAGTGTACGTAGACTCCTTCTTATTCATTACACCGTTACTACTTCTGACTGCATACGGTATACTACGCTCCCTACTCCCGGGACAACACACATGTTCCCTCTCAGCATGAAATGAAAACAAATGAGAATTACTATACAAAGGGTTAAATGAGGAAACTGAGTGAGCTTTCAGTCCCTGGGTTAGAAGCAAATTCCCCTTTCCATTCAGTAAGAGCTGGGAAGATTCCAGAGTTCAGGAACCTTTGGTTACCCTGAAGCAGAATGGTAATTTGAACTGGTGGATTGCATAGAAGATTAAACCATATTTTTTTTTCAATCATTTCCAAATTTTGATCAGATTGTTAGTTTCATAACAGATCATTCTCATACTCAACTTTGGATCAACAACCAAAAAAAAAAAAGTCCTTTTTGATATGTCCTGGCACTGGCTCATTGATCGTGGATGAAAGTTACTCTTATATCATTGGTCTCCAAGCAATAATCAGATTCCATAAAAGTCTATGCTTTCCATGTAGTGCCTGTGATTGGCTGGAGGAATCCACAAGCCTCAGCTATGACACTTATATCAAAGTGGGCTAACCTTGATCATTTTTTAGTATAAGGCTTACACACACACACACACACAAACATAAACACACACATGCACGCACACACACACACAAGTGAGTGAACTTAGCTAGGAAGGTGTTTCTGTGAGTAAAGTATAAAGACCACATTTGGAATCTTCAAACTCAATTAAAAGCTAGGTGTGCAAGATTGACAGGCTAGACAGAACTAGCAACAGTACAAATTCCAGTTTAGCAACAGAGACCAAGTGTTCAGACCCTGCTTCAATCTATGAGGAATGTACTGTGGTGTTTAGAAAGTCTGTGCCCATGTAACTTAGCTGTGTAGTTTAACCCTTCAGAACAAACACAAAGCCTAGCTTTTATGGGGGGGGGGGGTGCAGTATATATGTACATGTATTTGCATTTATGTTTTCATGCGTGAACATGACATATGAGGTTGATTTCTGGTTCTGTCTCCATAAGTCCACACCTTATGTATAGAGGCCCACTAGACAGCTAAGTGACATTACTCCAAGAAAGAGCTAATGTCAGAATGGTTTGAGGGTGCTGTTCTACAAGCAAGGCACGGCTTGACCCTATATATTGTAAATCCTAGTTGTGCATTTGAAACTGTTGATAGGGAAGGCTGGGACCTTGATCCAATGGTGTTGATGTGACTTTTCCCACCTATTTAGGCCATGGGAGAATTTTATTAACTACTCACCAGAAGGTGCCAAACTTTTGTTTGCTTATTATTTGAGGAAATTAATTACTCAAAATGACTACTTACATTATTTTTGATATTGGGTGTCAGTGGATGGCATATCACTTTTCTAAAAACTGAAATATTTGTTTTTCAACAGAATCATGTCTTTTCACATCATATTCAACTTGCAATTTAAAAACGAAAGCCCAGCCATATAGTTCTCATTGTGATTATGATGAGGTACTTTGAGTTTGGGATTTAGCCATGTGTCTGTCCTGTGGGAAGGGAAAAGGACTGAAGAGCTCCACAGCCTCTTCAGCCTGTGCCACGGGCATCTGCTGATGGACAGTGGGCCGAGCTCAGAGTAGAATGCTACTGAGTCCAATGCTCCTGTGAGGAGAGGCCTTTGTTCTCATCATTGTGTCTGCTTGGCTCAAGGATGTGATTTCAACCATCAGAAATGAGCTCCCAATGCCTCGCTACATTCTTCTCTAATATCCTTTAATCTAAAGAACAACTCCACTTCTTTGTCACACTTTCAACCATGGTAAAGAAGAGTGTCATTTTCTAATTAATTAGGGAGTGCAAAGATCTGGAGATTTCCATAGCCTGAATAATTGCCTAGGAAGGGCTGTTCAGTGTCCCTGTTGGCTTTGATTTGTTTTTATTTATTGAGGTACTAATGGAAAAGATGTTTTGCATCTTTAAACAGTGACCTTTCTGTACATTGAGGATTTCAGAACACTTGACATTTAAACTACTGGGAGTGTTTGTTTGTTTGTTTGTTTCTCCTCTGTGTTTTAGATCAATGGTTTTAATTTTCCTACATTGTAGAACATAGAAAAGAGAAAGAGAAGGGAAGAAGAAATATAAGGGAAAGAAGGGGGAAGGGAGAGAGAGAAGCTCACAACATGGAGGCCGAAAGTGTCAGGATTGGCTTTGAGTTCTCACAACATGCTGAGCAGTTAGCTTGTATACTACAGAGACCACAGTGTGCACCCGGTACTAGCCGAGCTTAGTTCCTGGGGAAACACTGTTATAAGCAAGCCTTTGTAGAGAAAGCATTCCCTTCCCAGTACAAGTCTGTTTAAAGATACACTAGGATCTTTTACCCCCTGGTTATGTATACAAGCAAACATTGTGTTTCTGTGAAGGGGGCGTCATTTTGCAGGTGTGTTTCCTGAAGCATTCAGATAAGGTGACATGGCTTAATGGATGCCAGGGTCTTGAATAATGAATGCAAGAATCTTGAGGGTCTTGAAGGCATTATAATTCTTAATCATATAGTGATAAAGTCACTTTGGCATCTATTTCCTGGTCATAACTCAGCCCTATTATAGGGACTGCTGCTATGTACCCAAGAAAAGTTGTGGGATTCATTCCCCTAGTATAGTACATATGTTAAATTCTAAAATCAGTAATCTATTAAAGTGCCTTTGAAATGCCCTCCAGGATGATGCAGCCTTAAAGAATGTCAAACCATCCCTCATCTCAGCTAACCCAGAGGGTTTAGCTATCAGAGGGAAGCAGACTATTACTTTTTCATTTAGATTTGGGGCTTGGGAGATACGTAATAGATCAGGAAAAAAAAAGTATGGAAGGAATTCCCAGACCTACAATTTCTATAAAGCTTAAGGAAACTTTTGAGAATGGCATAGTAGCATTCCACATGTCCCAATGAAATCAATATGTGTATATTTCTTCAGCTTCCTACAGTGACATGTATCATGTGTTCTGCACGGAAATGCTGGTATGTAAAAGAGAGCTATCCCTATTGAAATTCTTGTGTTAATTGTCTCTCCTTCCTAGGAGCAGAGAACAGTGAGATAGCATTCAGAACAGGCAGAAGGGTGGGCTTGGACATGTGCCAGAGCTCTGCTGCTACCAGCAGATAGTGTATGGTGGCAAGGATGGAAACAGTAACTTGAGGCCAGTGAAAGTCACATCAGTGGGAGTCACATCAGTAATACCTCTTTGGGCACTATCCAGTTTACAAAGCCTATTGTGACCCTTACGAATCCATGAATATTAGGTGAACACAGGCCTAAGCTTTCCTTTTGTTCATTTATAAGTCACTTGCCTCATACCATGTGGCAAAGTCCTGGAAAGCCATGTCAAATATCTTAAATATTACCTCTGTTCAAGCATCTGGATCTTGGCATCTTTGAGTATTTGGATGGCAGGCGCTGCTTCAGATTGACTTGCCATGGCCTATGCGATGCACAGGCACTAGTTCACACGTCTGTGGTGTAGTCTGAGTGAGGTCAGCAGCTGGACGGGAAGAGGGGAAGTACCCCTTAAATCCCTATAACCTGACTTCCTCTTCTCTGGCACTCATTGTCACACATGACCCAAAACCTGACACATGATGGCTGTACTTCAGGTCTGAAAGAAGGAGTTAATTATATATTTAGCACGCAAGAGTAAAAGGAGAAGATGGGAACCCAAATGGACAAATTATCAAATCAGGGGTCCAAAACATCCAAAAAAAATTGCCTGGGGAAACCCCTTTAAGATCGCTAGAGTTCCCAGTAGAGAGCCCTGGACACAGCAGAATGCCCCATA